ATCTAGTTACTGAATATTTATACTGTAAGAATATATAAATAATATTAGTCCATTAATAGGTCTCAGACGTTACTCGTAATGTAATCTTCACTAGGATATAACAGATTCTGGTATCTATTCATCAACATTCTCTTTGTATATGTAATTTAGATTATATTACTAGTATACACGGTGATAAATCATTTTCATCACAAAATGAACAAGAATAGCTCTTTAGTCCAGTATTGGCCCCCAAATGCCCTGGGATGGCCAAGAGTGGGGTGGGCCCGCCCTCCCTCTCGAAATGCTCTCACATGACCCCGCGTATACAGCCTCTGCCACGGAAGTCCTACTCACTGCCTTCTCGCACCACGGGTGTTGTTTACGAAATTGAGAGGACGAAAAGTGAATGTCCAGCGCTTTAAACCGGATCCCAAACCAATGGTGCACATGGGTTGGCTCCAGTATCCTTCAGTAACAAATGGCATATGAACCAATCGTTGGTCACCGACTACCATGGGACTGCATCTCCTCACGATGCTCCATTGCCTTGTGGGTCAGACCTTTAGGTCAAAGGCTCGGGATGTGGCCCCCTAAGACAACCACCTTCTTCGGTCTGGGCACCCGAGCAGTATCCCAGCCCTCACACAAATCAAATGATTTATGTGGCGCATATCCATTTGGTCCCTCCTTGTATCAATGTTAATGTGTTTAAATAAAAATATAATAAATTGGTACGTAATAAATGAACAACAAAGTCGTTAAAAGTATGAATTACATCAGATTTGAAACAAACATTTACGAGGAGACTATAATTTATTGACGACCTTTGGACGACGCTAAACTGACCTTGAGAGTATCTACCTAATAACCAGGACCAAATGAGGGTTATGAACCAGTATGAGGAATTAGAATTAGATTTAGAGTTTTCATCACCAACTGACATAAACTATAATGCCAAAACTCTATTGATCTGAATGGATGAGTAAATTTCACGCGCCAAAATCCAAGACCTATTATTTTATACGTGATTGGTTCGTCTATAAATTATAGTCTCACCATATTTACTCATTTAATACTTTAAACATATAAGATAGAATCTCTATCAAGATAAATACAATCAAGCGATTATTTCTCATACATCTTTAAAACTTCAATCATTCTGACTGATTTGTATGAGATTACACATATCAAAACATTTTCCTTATTGAATTATTGATGCTTACAAATGCAAAAGAATCACGTTAGATGCCGTTACTGTTCTGCATTACAATATAGTATTCAGCTCGGAAAAGGTTAAAAAGTATGTTCGATACGCTTTTCTGAGCTGTACGTCTGCTTTTGATTCTACCCAAGACAATTTTTACTTAACGAGTTAATCAGCGTCAACATTGACAGCTGGATAACCAACTGGTTATGTTTTAACCTATCTGGAAGAGAATAGTACACTGTGTTTGGAGGAAAGCGTTCATCAGCTTTACTGTTACAATGAGCTGTTATTTTACCCTCTTTTTTCTTCATCTTTCACAAAAAACACTTGTGAAATGTGCGGTTAATCTCGCTGTATGTATACCGACTTCTACCTCTTTACATCCTATAGAAATGAGTGAGTTTTTGTTTCATATTATATGATGATCTGCTGTGAATGGTCTCATACTTAATCCGTCTGAATGTCAAGCTGTTAACTTTAGCCTGAGACATGAACAGCACGTAAACACAGTTTTAAGATCCCATAATGCTTGTGTTATTAGAGACTCTTTGATAAACACATTGTTGAAGGTCGATTATCTTGGTGTTACCTTTTCTTATGATCTCTCTTGATCTTCTCATGTCTTACTGCTATCGAAGAAATTTTTCCGTCTGACTTATTACATAAAGAGGCTGCATGCTTTTGATTTTATTCGATATTTACTCTTACAATTTATCAATTCCTACATATTACCTATTATTCTTCACTGTTCTCCATTATTCTTTCCCGGGCTTTTGAAAAAAGACTTTTCTGTACTGCGGAGAGTGCTGAAGGCAGTTAGCAAGGTGTGTGGTAAATCTTTTGAAGTCATTATTAATATGTTTGTGGATAGACATGTTAAGTCTTTCAAACTCCTGACAGGTGTTATCTTGTCAGATATTAACCATCCCCTTCATTCCTATCTTTCTCTTTGTATATTTTCTAGTAGAACAAGACATCAATACATTAAAATCCATGCACTCAAGCAAATGTATTAAAGTTCTATAATACCTTACCTAGCTAATATACTATGTGACGAACAGGTTGTTAGAGTCAGCTTAGTCAATAACCTGTATTCTTAAACATGTTTATGATTGAAAAGTTGTACAGATTCAGACCTTTATTTCTCACCTTTTTCTTTTCTTTTTTTATGAAAGAAACTGATGTATGGGTGAGAATGATAATGATTAGTTGTTTGCTTAGTCAGATATGTAGTGACTGACTTCAGGAGATACTCTTGGAGTTCTAGTAAGAAGCCGTTAACAGTGGAGTTCAGCCAGGTCTGTTGTGAAATATCAGCTCACTGAAGACAACGGTATACGGTGGCGCAACTTCGTGGATTGGTTGAAGTTAGACATTAACACCACTGGATGCCGGATCAGTGGTCTAGTAGGTTAAGCGCTTGACGCGAGACGGATAGGTCCTGGGTTCGAACTTCGTGGGGTGCGGGATCGTGGGTACGCACTGTTGAGGAGTCCCATACTAGGAAGGAACGGCCGTCCAGTGCTTCCAAGTTTCCCTTGGTGGTCTAAATTCGATTGACTCATGATTTCAATCTGTGAGATATGTGGATAGTCTGATAGGTGTAAGATGAGTCATATGTTCCCTTATCCTTATAATTATAATTATTATTGATTGTTCATTGTTGTTGGGTTGTGTCGGGTTCTTGGTGTGGAAATATATATTTACGTTCTAATCAGGCTAATCACGTGTTCTTGATCATCTGAGTTGTATTGAAGTCCTGTAGAATAGACACTGAGAAGGAATCTAGTGTAGATATTCGTTTAAGGTAAATTAACATCCCATACGTGTAAACGTATAACAGAAACTTGTTGAAATAATTCGTGCTAAATATTCTGTTGGGACCCGAGAAACATAATGAATGGTAACTTTGGGATCCTTTTATGGATCAATACTAAACGTATATTTCTATTGTATAATTATTAAATAACTAAACTATTTATATTCATGTTCCTCCCAGTATAAGCTTTATTTCAAGTTATGAACCATTATTATACGTTTTACCATTCTTGAGTTATACCCAGTATATTGATTACTATCTTCCTCATTCACACCCACATCTGGCTAATTCTTGTACAAATGTTGTTTCATATTTTATTGGTACGTTGTGTTCTGTTTGATTGGTATATAAACTCAGTATGTTTGAAATATAATGATTCATATTTCAGATGCTGAGACTGATGTTCAGGACTTAACTGGTTGGGCTAGGCGGAAACCAGAGCCGATCAGAACTCTAGGCTGTTCTCACGTGTTTTACGCGTCTTTTGTCCGATCGATAAGTCACTGCTCTCTCTATCGGCGGTCGCAGTTATAACAATTGGAGACGGGGTAAAAAAACGATCCGAAATCAAGTCATAACAGATTCTAATATTATTTATAATATTGAATAAAGCCATTAACAATAATAGTAATAATAATAATAATAATACACTAAACATAATCATCATATACCCAAATCTTTATTAACTTACACTGGATAATAGTTACATAGGATAATATTGCCTGAATTACTTTGCTTCTTACAATCACCAATTGAACAAGCAATATTTCTCGTATCATAAGTAACTAACTAAAAGTACAATTTTATTATAGAAATGACTTTAAATGATCAACAATATAACATGAGTTACAAATGAAATAAAACATAACTGATTGAATCATTCCAAGTTGAATACGCAACAGTTAAGTAAAAATTGAATATAGATATAAAGTTTATAAAGATAAATGGGTGAATCTACAATTTATAGATGAACCAATCAGATTTACGAGAACAGATCTTAGATTTTTGGCACGAAGTTCATTCATTCATTTGGCTGTTATCAGTTCGTGATGGAAACTCCAAATCTAATCTCCGACCCTAACCATCAATTGTAAATTATAATCCTTATTCTGTAAACTGCTATATAACCCTCATTTAACCCTAATAAGTGGGTAGATACTCTCAAGGTCAGTTTAGCGTCGTTCAAAGGTCGTTCATAAATGAGTGATTATGAGTGATTTGAATTAATATGTGACGATTTAACACGTAGATAAGGAATGAATCGTTAAATTACTAAAGTTCCTATTATGTCAACATTTCGGATTAGAATGCCCTCTTCACAGACACCTGACCAGTAGTTCAGATAGTTTTGCAAGAAACATCTGGTGGCTATGAGATATTGATGAATGAAGCTGTTGATTGTTTTACATTGATCATTCGATAGGTATTTACGGTAATACTCGGGGATCGATTTTAAAAGAGCACAATTTATGTGACTGACTAACTTGTTAATGATGCAATGTCTTTTCCTTTTATTATAAGTTCCGTAGTGAGTATCAACTCTGAGATGCAAGCAAATCAAGCCGATTTTGATGGAGTTTTGTTCTCTGAGCTGGATGGTTTGGTCGTGGAGTTTTCATCATTCTTTTGAACGACATTATCAGCACAAACTTCAGATAGAAATGAAGTGTTCGAATTTCTCCATATGCGTTCCACAGCTTGTTCTGTATACCTCGATGTTGATTGGTTCTTATTGACCTTGCTGATTGACCTGGGTGCCAGGCAAACACATTGATATCGATCCAATTTATCAACCAATCAGGAAATTTATGCACAAATATAGGAACAAGAATCAAACCAATGGGGGACAACCAAAACAAAGAAGTAAACAATGACAAATTTAAGGTCAATAAGAACCAATCAACATCGAGGTATACAGAACAAGCTGTGAAACGCACATGGAGAAATTCGAACACTTCACTTCTATCTGAAGTTTATGCTGATGATGTCGTTCAGAAGAACGATGAAATCTTCACGACCAAACCATCCAGCTCAGAGAACAAAACTCCATCAAAATCATCCATTTGAGCTACAAATCTTCACCATCATCTCAAAATTAAGTCGATAAATTCATTACCCCGTTTAAATTGTTAAATATCTATAAGTAAGAATTACATACCATTTACCTGTTTATAGGATGAACAATCATAAACAATACAACTATAAGGATAATGTTTGGTTGACCATACTTTGAATATACTGAAATGAAAAAGAATGTGACAGTGATGATATAACTTCCTTAATGATCATACCTTTTAATATCTTTATTGTCAGAAATATTTACACTAAGTGTATTATTGAAATATTGTTTCGTTAAAGTAATACTTGAATTGCACTGTTTCACATAACGTTCCATATATTGTTGTAATGTATTATCCCGTTTCTACAAAATAGAATCAAAGTATCAGTTTACTGTTATAACTTGTGCCCTATGCCCCCTATCAATGTATAACGTAATGATACAGGCAATTAGAGAACAGTGAATTATCGACCGGACCAATGACGCGCGAAACCCATAAGAGCAGTCTAAAGACCTTGTCGGTCCTTCTTCCTGTCTAGCCCTTCTTATTGAGTCCAGAAGACCAATCTCAGTCTCCGCGATAAGAATCATGCATTTCAAACATAGTGGGTTTATACACCAACCAAACAGACAACATCGTACCATAAAATAGGAAACATCATTTGTACAAGATCTGACCAAAAGTGGCTATGAATGTGGGAGGTAGTAATTGATAGACAGGGAATAACTCAAGAATGGTAAAAACGTATAATAATAGTCCATAGATCAAAATAAAGCTTATAATAGGAGGAACATGAATATGCATAGTTTAGTTACTTAGCAATTATACAATACAAAATATACGTATAGTAATAGTCCAGAAATAGATTCCAACAGTTATAATTCATTATGCTTATCGGGATATAACATAAACATCAACATAACTGACAATATCAGAACCAGTGAAATAATGATTTATAAATTAACTGATACAATAAAACAAAGCTATTAACAAGCTTTGTCAATCTTCCTCAACCATCTTCTCCAATTAAATCTTGTGTCCATCAGATGAATATAGGCTGTTTAGTCGAAATACTGACCACACTGTCTCGAGATTGAGTCGATATGCAAATGAAGCAAAGTATTATAAACGCTTACATTGAGTTCTTTGAGGTTTATAGAAATACAGAAAACAGTATCTAATAGTATGATCAAAATCTGAAAAAACCTGTTACGTTTAGTAGGCTTACTGATGGAAAACTGGATCAATAATCTAAAATTTAGTTATTCCAACTCAACCAGTGACGATCTTCCATTAACAGTTCTACATATACGAATTTTCTTAAAATTGGTTGTTAGTATGACGTTGTGAAGATTGTTAAATTTCATTGGAATCATAGACCGATCGAAGTTAAGAAAAACCCTTTGAAAGCCTAAAAATACTGAATAGCCCATTCGTTCTAGTGTGAGACTCATCGATGCCACTCATCCACAACCGGGAATCGAACTCATGGATTCCGGTCACGCGCTTGAACACGTAACGTAATCAATTAATGAGTCGAAACCCAATGATGTGCAAGCCTAACTTCAATCAATCCATGATATTGCCCGACTGTCTTAAAATCAATTGTTTTCATAGCAATCTTATAGATAAAATAATCTATAACTCATCGGGTGTGTGGAAAATATAAAAGTATGCAAGAGAAATCTTAATGCAATGATTTTACAATCTATTCCCATTCAATACGACTAACATATTTAGATCAAATTCACTCAGACTGATAACATGTCGATTTATATAGATATGAGATGTACGTTTGAGTGTCATGAAAAGCATTTAGTATCTAAATTATTCAAAATATACAGATGACATGTGCGATCACAAACTTATGTTGGTTTTGCATCAACTTATTCAGAAGGTATATCATTAGTTGAATCGATTACTTTCCCTGAAGTGTCAACTACATCAATATTTATATAAGTGAATCTTTACAAGACTCCGCCTGGAGCTCCTCTTGGGCTTCTACTGGTCCCAAACCCGGATAAAGGAGGAGGGTTGGGCATGAGGTTAGCGACCTCATCTCGTAGACAACTAGCTCGCTAATAAAACGCTGACTAGAAAAAATAATTCAAATCATTTAAAATCTGCTCTGGGAGTTAGAAAGTCTTCATTTAGAATAGTTATGATGAATCATGGTAAAAGCCGAGTTCCCTCAGAAGTCACAAGGCTGATGCCCCCTCTGACAACTAGGGCAACGATCAATTTAGGTACATGGAATTTTCATACAATGTAAGAGACTGGAGAGTCATCCAAGTTGCAGCAGAATCTTTACATCCTATTGAATGACAATGGATGTTCATGATATGCTGTTATTGAAGAAAAAAACTTTCCGATTCATCATATTTTCCACTTTCGTCAATAACACCATGAGAAATTATTCTTTTATAAAGCAGATTAATGAAAACATGAAAATTATCTGGTAAGTAGAATGCTTTTAATGATACAGTTCCTAATCAATTTGAATAGTTACTACTGTTCATTATGAAACTGGAAGAAAGAATAGATATACTGATTTTCCAAAAATAGCTATTCTAAACTGTCTTTTATGAATCATAATGGAACGTATTTTGTAGTAAACGAGAGCACAAGTGGACGACAACGGAATATATTTAACACACGAAATTGCAGAACGTCTTAGTAAAATCTGAGAACCATCGAGTTTCGCGGGGTGGGATCGTGGATGTGCACTGATCGGGAGTCTTATATTAGGGTGAAACGGCAGTCCAGTGCTTCCAGATTTTCCATGGTCGTTTAGCTTCAATTGACTCTTGAATTCAATTATTAAATTACATACAGTAAATACTTAATTTGCAAAATATTATTCAATTGTCTCAAACTTGACTGTTCCTTTTGAAAATATCAGTCAGTCGTCTCAGACTTCATTGTTCCTACATTTCCATACCAATTGTTTTCTGTTCTTGTTATTTCCTTTTCTCTGTATTTGACTTTCTGCTGCCAGACTTCTATTCCTGACCAGCGTTATGAACTACTTATATCGATATAAGTAGAACATACCACAGTATGATGGCCGATATATTGCTCGAATCTAACGATCTCCACTTATTCAGACATTAAATATCAATTGCAGTTATAATGCGAACATTTATAACGGTGCATATAGGAGAGTAAATGTTCGACAATCATATCAACGATAGTGTTTACCATTGAATCACTGAACTCTATCACTGAAACATGTCGATTTATATAGATATGAGATGTACGTTTGAGTGTCATGAAAAGCATTTAGTATCTAAATTATTCAAAATATACAGATGACATGTGCGATCACAAACTTATGTTGGTTTTGCATCAACTTATTCAGAAGGTATATCATAGTTGAATCGATTACTTTCCCTGAAGTGTCAACTACATCAATATTTATATAAGTGAATCTTTACAAGACTCCGCCTGGAGCTCCTCTTGGGGCTTCTACTGGTCCCAAACCCGGATAAAGGAGGAGGGTTGGGCATGAGGTTAGCGACCTCATCTCGTAGACAACTAGCTCGCTAATAAAACGCTGACTAGAAAAAATAATTCAAATCATTTAAAATCTGCTCTGGGAGTTAGAAAGTCTTCATTTAGAATAGTTATGATGAATCATGGTAAAAGCCGAGTTCCCTCAGAAGTCACAAGGCTGATGCCCCCTCTGACAACTAGGGCAACGATCAATTTAGGTACATGGAATTTTCATACAATGTAAGAGACTGGAGAGTCATCCAAGTTGCAGCAGAATCTTTACATCCTATTGAATGACAATGGATGTTCATGATATGCTGTTATTGAAGAAAAAAACTTTCCGATTCATCATATTTTCCACTTTCGTCAATAACACCATGAGAAATTATTCTTTTATAAAGCAGATTAATGAAAACATGAAAATTATCTGGTAAGTAGAATGCTTTTAATGATACAGTTCCTAATCAATTTGAATAGTTACTACTGTTCATTATGAAACTGGAAGAAAGAATAGATATACTGATTTTCCAAAAATAGCTATTCTAAACTGTCTTTTATGAATCATAATGGAACGTATTTTGTAGTAAACGAGAGCACAAGTGGACGACAACGGAATATATTTAAACACACGAAATTGCAGAACGTCTTAGTAAAATCTGAGAACCATCGAGTTTCGCGGGGTGGGATCGTGGATGTGCACTGATCGGGAGTCTTATATTAGGGTGAAACGGCAGTCCAGTGCTTCCAGATTTTCCATGGTCGTTTAGCTTCAATTGACTCTTGAATTCAATTATTAAATTACATACAGTAATACTTAATTTGCAAAATATTATTCAATTGTCTCAAACTTGACTGTTCCTTTTGAAAATATCAGTCAGTCGTCTCAGACTTCATTGTTCCTACATTTCCATACCAATTGTTTTCTGTTCTTGTTATTTCCTTTTCTCTGTATTTGACTTTCTGCTGCCAGACATTCTATTCCTGACCAGCGTTATGAACTACTTATATCGATATAAGTAGAACATACCACAGTATGATGGCCGATATATTGCTCGAATCTAACGATCTCCACTTATTCAGACATTAAATATCAATTGCAGTTATAATGCGAACATTTATAACGGTGCATATAGGAGAGTAAATGTTCGACAATCATATCAACGATAGTGTTTTACCATTGAATCACTGAAACTCTATCACTGAAACATGTCGATTTATATAGATATGAGATGTACGTTTGAGTGTCATGAAAAGCATTTAGTATCTAAATTATTCAAAATATACAGATGACATGTGCGATCACAAACTTATGTTGGTTTTGCATCAACTTATTCAGAAGGTATATCATTAGTTGAATCGATTACTTTCCCTGAAGTGTCAACTACATCAATATTTATATAAGTGAATCTTTACAAGACTCCGCCTGGAGCTCCTCTTGGGCTTCTACTGGTCCCAAACCCGGATAAAGGAGGAGGGTTGGGCATGAGGTTAGCGACCTCATCTCGTAGACAACTAGCTCGCTAATAAAACGCTGACTAGAAAAAATAATTCAAATCATTTAAAATCTGCTCTGGGAGTTAGAAAGTCTTCATTTAGAATAGTTATGATGAATCATGGTAAAAGCCGAGTTCCCTCAGAAGTCACAAGGCTGATGCCCCCTCTGACAACTAGGGCAACGATCAATTTAGGTACATGGAATTTTCATACAATGTAAGAGACTGGAGAGTCATCCAAGTTGCAGCAGAATCTTTACATCCTATTGAATGACAATGGATGTTCATGATATGCTGTTATTGAAGAAAAAAACTTTCCGATTCATCATATTTTCCACTTTCGTCAATAACACCATGAGAAATTATTCTTTTATAAAGCAGATTAATGAAAACATGAAAATTATCTGGTAAGTAGAATGCTTTTAATGATACAGTTCCTAATCAATTTGAATAGTTACTACTGTTCATTATGAAACTGGAAGAAAGAATAGATATACTGATTTTCCAAAAATAGCTATTCTAAACTGTCTTTTATGAATCATAATGGAACGTATTTTGTAGTAAACGAGAGCACAAGTGGACGACAACGGAATATATTTAAACACACGAAATTGCAGAACGTCTTAGTAAAATCTGAGAACCATCGAGTTTCGCGGGGTGGGATCGTGGATGTGCACTGATCGGGAGTCTTATATTAGGGTGAAACGGCAGTCCAGTGCTTCCAGATTTTCCATGGTCGTTTAGCTTCAATTGACTCTTGAATTCAATTATTAAATTACATACAGTAAATACTTAATTTGCAAAATATTATTCAATTGTCTCAAACTTGACTGTTCCTTTTGAAAATATCAGTCAGTCGTCTCAGACTTCATTGTTCCTACATTTCCATACCAATTGTTTTCTGTTCTTGTTATTTCCTTTTCTCTGTATTTGACTTTCTGCTGCCAGACATTCTATTCCTGACCAGCGTTATGAACTACTTATATCGATATAAGTAGAACATACCACAGTATGATGGCCGATATATTGCTCGAATCTAACGATCTCCACTTATTCAGACATTAAATATCAATTGCAGTTATAATGCGAACATTTATAACGGTGCATATAGGAGAGTAAATGTTCGACAATCATATCAACGATAGTGTTTTACCATTGAATCACTGAAACTCTATTACAAAAATAGGTATTAGCATTAATGAAGACAAATGATACCCTAGTCCTATTTAATATGTAGTGACCTACTTTTATCAAGAGAAAGCGATTGGTGTAATGGAAACAATTATTATTATAACCAGTTGTACCAGGGATTGTTTTACCGTACTTGTTTGTTTAACTGTACCAAAACACATACATTCCTCCATTGCTTGTGACCTTGCACGAATTCAGTTACAATCAGTAACCACACCTGCAACCTTGCACGATCTCGTTATTCCTTCGATACCACGAGATCGCCAACAAATACATCTCGACTACAGCCATCAACCGCCTTCTGATATTTGGCTTACGAGAGATCTTATCGGTTAACTGGCACGTAGTCTTCTTGTAATAGTAATCATAGTCAACCGCGACTCGACACTACCCTACAAATATATCACTCAAATAATGGTTATACTAATGATGTTTATTCATTCATAAGTGAGTAATTCTCTTATTAAACTTACATGTTCCAACGGAGGTTGTTCAAAAATTCTAGAATCATGATTATCATCTTTAAGTTTATGATTTCTTCCATGGAGATTGAATTGTTCCTTTGTCATTTGACATTTACATAATCCATAATACTGCAACATAATGAATATAAAATAATGAAATACATTCAACTTCATAATAATAAAATGAGTTTTGAATTAAATTTCAATGACAATAATGAGAATATGTGTGTATTTATATACAAACAATTTAGGTGTTACCTTTCATAGTTGTAATTGATTTCTGTGACTAACAACAACAAACTCTTGTTTGTTTTTTCGCTAAGAAAATCGAATATTTATTCGTTCAATAGTAAACATTATTGATTACAAACAAAAAAAACAAAAAAACAAATTAGTTACTAAGTAGAAACATTGACTAAAGAAGCAGGTAATTTACAACTAGATGTTTACAAAGATAGAATATGAATAAAGTATATTATACTCATTATCAGAAGGGGTTTTTGTGAAGATTTTAGCGATTCTATGGTTGAACTTGTAGTATCGGTTATTATGTTAAGCCCATATACTGTATTCTAACTTTCAGACAGTCCAATCTATTCATTCTACTTGAGTTCATATTTTGACCTTGTTAATTATTCGCTTATCAATCTTGATTGTTTTTATATGAGCGTATATGTGTGTACACTTCATATCCCATGTCTCATCACATGTCTTTAGTTTATTTTGTCTGCCTATAAATATTGAGTAACGCCTGGCTAAAAAAAGGAGTTGGCTTACCAGCCATCTCCCTTGCGCGTCGTTTCTCTTCTCTTTATTCCATTCGCTTCATATACAAAATATATGTATTCAAAAGTCCATTCTCGTTATTTGACTTATCTAAATCCCTTATTGACTGACGCAATTAAAGTCGATGATTACATACGAGAATAGGCGATAACAAACATTCGTACGATCTAAATGGAGTCAGATCCACGGGCCACTAAAAACTCATGAGTCATTTGATGTTAGACCATCATGAAAAACTTGGAAACACTGGACGACCGTTTCGTTCTAGTAATGGGACTCCTTAGCAGTGAGCATCTACGATCCAGGTCAAGGGTTCAAATCTCGTGGAGCACTTGATTTGTAGTGACCCACATTTATCACGAGAACACGACTGGTTTAATAAAAACAATTATTATTATAACCAACTGTACCAGTGTTCGTTTTAACGTGCTTTTGTTTGACTGTGCTAATGACAGCTATTTTGTGCTTCCATTCTTATACTTACACTTTGATTGTAACTTCACGCGAATTTGGTTACGTTCTGTAACCAAGCTTGTATCCTGGCACGATCTCGGTATCCTTTCGATACCACGAGATCGCCAGCAAATATATATCTCGACTTGATCCATTAATTGTTTTCTGATATTTGACTTCTCGGGGATTTTATGGATTAATTTGGTTACGTTCGACCTTCGCCTTCTGATTTATTTGGCACGTGTTTCTTGGTAGCGGTGTCCATAATTAACCTCGACTCGACGCCACGCTACAGATTAACACATAATTTATGGACGGCTAAACATATCATGAACCCTTAAACAGAACACATATGAGAGGACAAATAGCATTTTACATGAACGTCGAAAAGGAATTATGTAACAATAGTAGACAACCGACAAACTAACTGATTCGAAATAAAAGAACTTCCAAAGTTTATATATATATATATATATATATATATATATATATATGAGACAGAAGGAAACATCTTTGACAAATCCATGGTAAATGTTGTCTAAAGAACTCGCTCTTTTAAAGGCAGTCATCCTACTCATCGATACAACTGTAGTGACCTGCTTTTATCAAGAGAACGCGATTGGTATAATGGAAACAATTATTATTATAACCAATTGTACCAGTGATTGTTTTACTGTACCTGTTTGTTTAAGTGTAATAAAAACACACATTCTTCCGTTAACTGAAACCTTGCATGAACTCGCGTACGCTTAGTAGTCCCATTTGTAAACTTTGACACGATCTCGGTATTATTCCGGTACCACGAGATTGCCAACAAATACATCTTACTACAATCTTCAATTGCCTTGTAGTGTCAGTTATTATATTAAGTCCATATACCTTATTCTAGCTTTCGGACATCCCATTCTATTCATTCTACTTGAGCCATACTTTAACCTTGTTATTTATTCGCTTATCAATCTAGACTGTTTTTATATGACCGTATATGTGTGTGCCCTTCTTATCCTATTATTCACATGTCTGTAGCTTTATTTTGTCTGACTATAAATACTGAGTAACGCTTGATTAAATTGAAGTTGGCTTCCCAGCCATCTTCCCTGCTTGTCATTTTGCTCTGCTCTGTTTCATTCGCTTCATATACTTTTCACGCACTAGTCCTCCTACAGATGTTTACAAATCTGAGAATGGACTATTTCAAGCACTCAGTTGAATGTAACTGAATTTTCTCACAGTGTTTCATATCTCAAACAATTCAGTTTTCTTTGCTCCTATCAGTGAAACAACACAGCAAATATGAATTACCCCACATTTTCTCGTTTTGTGAGACAAAGTGTGAGGAGTTGGGAGTAAGAGAATGTGAGCACTTGGATACCCATTCAACATCTGTTTATTTAAAAAAGTTAATTTATCGTGGTAAACGTGATCGATGATGAAACTGAATGGAAGATGTAAATGTGAGTGACCTGACCAGGAAACTGTGCAACATTTTGTGCATGGGATTTTCATGTGAACAAATGATACATAGATGTGTCTTATTGGTTAATTAAGATTCATCAGGTCGAGTACATGGAACGAGCAACGGCCCAGTAGCTACTTAATTGGTCATGACTATAAGCACAACTACAACCCAGATCTTTAAATACAGTCGTGTACGCTGAATGTCCAACTCAATATATCAATCATGTACTCTGTCTATACGGGAAAACGTCTGTTGACATAACCTGCGACAAGAAAATTAATTTTCTCAAACAGACAATTTAGAATTTGAGTCCGCTCACCTCTGTTTCTCTGATTTGATGAGCAGTTCGTGGAGTTGCAGAAGGTTTACACTAATGATTGGTATAGAAACGTCTGCCACGACGGAACTCGATGAGGTTCATCGGTAGATTTGCTGTCGCCTACATACATACATTCATGTATACATACATACATACATACATACATACATACATACATACATACATACTAGGCATAAAGGAACTGTTGAACTCGTGCTGTTATGCCTTAACTTCTTCACAACAGAATCAGACTTCAATATTATCAGGTCAGAATGGCATGAGATTGCAAGGTTAGGAGCATGAGAGTATTGAATTGTAACAGTTTGGTTGCGTATCCCAGAAAAATAAGGATAAGATGTGTAAATATGTGGGAAAATCTGAGGACACGAAAGTGATATAGTAATGTATAAACGACATATGTATGGTGTTATAGAAAGGAACAGGCTCATAGTTTACCGTTTGGTGTGTCAGATCACTTCAGACTCACCATCGAAAATCCATTATTCAATGTCTTTGTCACAAACGGATTACTTTTTCCCGCTCGCTTCTCATTATGAAAGTACAGTTCCGGGTATTTTGTTGTGTTCAATGAGTGGTAGTCTAGCCACTTTAATGCACTAATCCTAGTTATTTTGGAATTTGTTTATGGATTTATATTATCTTGCAGTTGAATGAGCGTGTTTGCTTCAGAAAAGTAGGATTTCTGGATAATAGAATCCATCGAATTTCCAAGCAGGAGGTTGATTGATTGCAATGTGAACAATAATAAAGAGAAAACTTCGAATTCTAAGAAAACAAATTTCGTGCTAGTAACTGAGAAGTTACCGTACACTCCTGTGAAGTACATTGTGACGTGGTCATGGAAGCCCCTCAGAATGTTTCTGTCACCTTGGTAATTTGTCATCCTTGATTTCGGTGGATAGCACATGTTACTGACTTCTAGATTACGCCTTATTATTAACACACTGCTATAGAGGCATTTGTTGGTAAGTTTGATCATTTGGTTCTCATTAACGGAGTCACCCGTCTTCGACATTTTAGGCAGATATTAGTCCACAATTTGGTTCTTGCTTCCGAACGATTTGCCTTTACGGAGTATCCCCTGGCAGGATTACTGTAACTATGTCCTTCATAATAGATTGTTGACTGAGGTCAGCTGACATCAAGGTGTGTGTTTGGGCTTTGCTACTGTTGTCCTACCAAGCTAGGTGGGTTTTCATATCAGATGTGACTGAAAATGCCACTTATATTCCGTGATTGACTGGGCCGTTGTCCGTTATGCACTCTTAATTGGAAATCCTTAACCCATTTAAAACAGAAGTCAGGAAGGAGGGCGTCGAATATATGTTTCGAAATATATCAATTTGTTGAGGAGTAATTGGGCTGAGGTAACTGGCTGTTGTGAGGGATGTATGGCATGTCCCTTCAAACGATGATCTGTTGAGGATGCCTGACCAAGCGCCATCAGCTACGGTATGTCCGGTAAAACTAATAAATTCTGCATCGTTGTTGACGGCATACAAAATTATTTATTTTGATGACTCATTCAACTCAAGGAAAACTCATAAGAGAAAATAATCTATAATTCAGGTTCGGTTCTAGACTGGTGCTTTAGAGTCAGAAAGCCCAAGTCCTGTATTAGTCCTTCTCTTGCAGGTTTTTGAGTGTCAAGTGTTCTCCTGAATGAGTCAGTTGATGATCCGGACACCATTGCGTCGGGTATCAGCATCCAATGGTTGATGACTCGCTGTGAAAACCTGAATATCAAGAATATTTTGTTCGTTATTGGCTTTCGTACATGCCTGTTATGTCCACTGAGTTGTTCTGATCTAAATTGAACGAACAGTGAAGATATAATATGTTCATAATCAATTCTTATTATTCTGTGCATCAAGATCAAATTACTTCCCACTCCATGGCAAGTCAGTGTGAAAAAGTCTAACTTCTCAAGTTGCTTTGTGTGCGGTTAATGGAATGGCTAAATCACCTTCCTTCGACGATACTAGAGACTCAACATCAGACCGAAACACTAAGAATCAAGCCAAAACAAATAATCTGATTTGTACTAGATCTTCATAAACACATTAGATATTACTGCAATTTCATTACTAAGAAAGATTAGTTCAGCGAAGAGTTTTCTTTTCGGTAAATTCATTTTTAAAGCTGTAC